CGTCAACATGAATATCCTATACAATCCAACCTGCTGCAGTACAACGAGTTTCATCCGTCCTCATCTGGTGCGATCGACCAACGAATCTCTTCTTCGTGCACTTTCATACGAAATGAAGGTCCCTTTAACAAAGCTCACAGTAGTCGTCATCATGGCTGCATTCAAATCGGAATATAGCGTTGGAACCCTGCCAACAATACCAATCTTGCAAACTGGCGCGCACAAGCAAGTTCGTTCTGAATCCGATCGTCTATTTCGAAACTTTTTATGTGGAAAGTATGTTTTTGGTCATATCTCCTTTTTTGGAAATTGGTTTATTATATTGACTGATATAGTTATCCAAATAGCCATTTTTCACCAAAAGGAAGCTCTACTGCTTTATTCACTAGATCACTTGAGGGACTGGAAGATCGGCTTTCCAGGTCGAAACACAGGCGTCTGCGAGTAGTTGACCATATAAAGCATCCACTCAGTAGATTTGCTCATTAAATAAAGGTTGGAATTTATTTGCGTAAGGTAACATCAACCATCTTAACTGCTTTTCATTCGAGCCACCATTGAAATGGTCATTTAGTATTTGTTTTCTACATCTAATCAAAGTGACATTTTCTGCTTGATAGTAAAAGTGTCGATTGTTTGCGACGACGATAAACTATCCATAAAATTACATTTGTCCGGCTAATTCCTGGCCAGTTTATAGCCACTGAGCAAGATTTTGCCTATGAAAGTTTATTGTAAATATAATAGGTCTTAAAGGAATGCCAATTTGGGCAGGTTAAGCTAGCATTATGATTTGGGTAGTCTTGGTCGAAGAGACCTGATTTAAAGCTTCTCCTCTTGATTGAAAAAAATTTCTTCAAACTGTTTTTTTTACTTCTAAAGTGGCTTCTAGTTCACCCTGAATCGACCAGAAGGTGAGTGTCATCAGCCCATCTTTCTGGTGTGAGCAGTTCGTATTAAAAGACTGTTTATTCTAACGAGGCGAAAAATCATAATACCTAAGTTTTCGTAAGGTAATTTCTATGTTTTCCCCTTGTACTGCTTTGCCGATATGAGAATTTCAACTGCAAACTATATTTTCCATCTTACTTTCTGTCTCGAACCTCATAAAGTGCTTCGATGGGGGAGGAAACATCATCAAGTTTAATTTTTAAGAGGGCCGACGGAAAGATGGACGACATTTTAATGCATTTTCCGGTTCAGTAGGCCGATCCAAGCAGAAAAATCGTATTCTTTAAACATTTTTGTTTTTCAAATTTTAAGCAATCTTGATGAAAATTTGGCCTTTAAATATCCCAATTCAATACAAATAATAATGCTTATTCTGTTACCGGCGAAAGATGCAGACTAATACTATTTCTGCGCGTCTGTTACGTCAGTAATCTGGACAGAATGCAAAACTAAGAGTAGTAGAGGCTAGAATAAGGAAAAGTCGTCTTAACTATCTGCGATTAGGTATCTGAGCCTGATTATTTCCTCAAACAATAAACTGTAACAAAGTTTTTAAAAGACGGCTTTTTCGGGAAACCAAAATAGTAGCATGATAAATATTTGAATCCCTCTTTTGTGTATAAACAACCAATTTATTCTAAAAATGTTGGCTTCCATGACTAAATAAAGGCTGCATCTTTTCTTTTGCAGAAGTCAATTCTACAGGTTGGGCACCAGAGGTCTGGCACTAATAACATAAAAAGTGATATTTTTATAGGAAAGTAAAGTAGAAGTACCCTTATAATAGGATCAAAAGTCACGTATCTAACTTTTATTAAGTTTTGATCAATTTCAAAAAAGCGGTTGAGGAGCCAAGCTACTCTAGAAACAGCAAAAAAAGATGATGCTCGCCTAAACAAATGACCAAATAGAATTGGTTTGACTCCGTTGCCGCAAGTTGCTCCTGGTGTCAGAGAGATAAAGATGAACGCAACTTGTTCAAACTATTTAGCCGTAATAGGTATGATAATTTCCAGCACCAGACCATTAATTTGATACATTCCTAAACGATTCGCAGGCTCGTAGTCGGCCTCATCAGAGAGTCTTTCAACAAACTACGATTGGTCAGAGACAAGTGAAGTTGATCTCTTGGCTAACTTTCTGCCAACCGATTGTGGTATCACTCCTACTTCAGCCCTGGTACATCTGCCCAACCCCTCAATTTCACTATATCACAATTGCTAACTTGTGTATACTGAACTATTCCCAAAGACGTCATCGCGCCTTCCACTAGTTTACTTTGCTCCTTTCTCTTGCTTCGGCGGGATTGCTGATCCGACTTTGACCTTTCATATATTCATTAAATGTAGGTTTCCAAATTATCAGTAAATCTTCAATAATAATTCCAGTCTCCCTGGGTAGCATAAGATGAAGAAGGAGTGACGGATGATTTTTTTCATGACGATATGAGTGGGCTATATGATTCCACTGAGGTTTCGTTATTTTTTCGTCTTTAATAGGCTTTCGAGACTACCAGTAAATCAGATATATGCTATGTGTCTAATCTACTTCGTTTAAGCTGATGCAGGACTAGTCGTTGGATGTTCCCATAATATTATGAGTAGACCAAACGTTCTTGTTTGAATTTCACATTACCTTGCTTTCCCAAAAGATATTCTTATACAGACTGGAAATCCTGAGAGCTTGACA